GCACCCAAATACATGAAAAAAACTCCTGGAAGATATCAAGGAAGAGATCGACAACAATACAATCATAGTAGGGGACTTTAATACACCACTGACATCACTGGATAAGTCCTCTAGACAAACAATCAGCAAAGAAACAGCAATCCTAAATGACTCACTAGATCAGATGGACTTAATTGACAGCTTCAGAACACTTAACCCCAAAGCCGCGGAATATACATTCTACTCAAGTGCTCATGGGACAGATACAAAAATAGACCCCATATTGGGTCACAAGCAAAGTCTCCACAAATTCAAGAAGATTGAAATCATAAAAAGCATCTTCTCAGACCACGATGGCATAATATTAGAAATAAACTACAATAAAAACAACCCAAAATACTCAAACACTTGGAAGCTGAATAGCATGTTATTAAATATTGATTGGGTTACCAATGAGATCAAAGAAGAAATTAAAAGCATCCTGGACACTAATGACAATGAAAACACAACAATCCAAAACCTATGGGACACACTGAAAGCAGTCCTGAGAGGGAAGTTTATAGCTCTACAGGCCTATCTCAAAAAGCAGGAAAAAAATGGTAGTAAATCATCTAACTCTACAACTCAAAGAATTAGAAAGAGCAACAAGAAAACCCCAGAGTGCGCAGAAGGAGATAATAAAGATTAGAGCAGAAATAAATGACATAGAGACCAAAAAAAACAATACAGAAAATCAATGAAACCAAGAGCTGGTTCTTTGAAAGGATAAACAAGATTGACATACCTCTAGCCAGGCTCACCAAGAAGCAAAGAGAGAGGACCCAAATAAACAAAATCAGAAACGATAGAGGCAAAATAACAACAGACCCCACAGAAATACAAATGATTGTTAAAAAATACTATGGACAGCTCTACTCCAACAAACTAGACAACCTGCAGGAAATGGGGACAAATTCCTAGAAAAATACAACATTCCAGCAATCAATAGGCCAATACTATGGAGAAATTGAAGCAGTCATCAAA